GAAATTTGTTCATCAGATGGAGATGAATTTGACACCACTACGTTATTACTTTTAATATCTTCATGCAGTAAAGTATGGTGTTTTGCTTTGCAAATAGAACACACATTCTGCGATGAACAAAATTTTAATTGATGATTTCCGAAACAATTGAAGCATAATAAATTCTTCCGAATGATATTTTTCCTAGTCGTAATATCTGCACCTTTAAATTTATAACACTTTGATAAAGTATGAGAACCATTGCAATGCTGACATTTTAGAACAGAATGTTTATTATTATGTGAAACATTCTTCGAAAACAGAGCACTGATTTTTATGCGATACTCGCTTTTCAGTATTATGAGTGTTTAACATTTCAAGTGAAACACATCTTGAGTTTAAGAATTCCAAAAAACATTCTAAGGTGGGAAATTCTTCTTCACTGTTTTTTTGTGACCATAAATGGCGCGTTTCCGGATCGACCTTTTTCTAACAAAAAATAAATTAGCCAAACATCTCTAGACGAAGCCTTTTCGCCAAGAGATTTTAATCCACGGATAACTTCATCAGATGTATCAGATAGTTTTCTTAGATTAACAGAATCAGCGCTAGTAATTTTGGGTTGCTCAAGAAATGTTCTGACAAGCGACATTACAATTTGATTTTTTCTATCATAACGATTCATCAATTTGTCCCAAGCCTCATCGTATGTAGTTTCGGAAATCGGAATGTGCTTAATAATAGCAGCTGGTTCGTCTGTTAAAAGTCCTATCAAATATTGGAATTTCTGAATTTTCGCTAATGACTGATTGGTATGAACTGTCGCCATGTACAGATCTTTAAAATTAAGCCAATCAGTATATTTACCATTGAAACTCGGAATGTTTAAACGCGGAAGTTTAAAGCTAGCCTCAACTGCAGTGGGATTTGAAATCAAAACATTTCTGGCCGTTACGGATTCAATGGCGGATTGATACATTACTTTCGTTTCAAAATATTTAGCTTCGAATTCAGCAATTTCAGAAGCTTCTTCGGGTAAAGCAGCATCATATTGATCAAATTCCTTAAATATTTGTTCAATTCTTTCTAATCGTGCTTTTAATTCCGTTAAACTTAACTGATTACTGAAACTATTGTGAAGCCGCGTTAGGGTAGATTTCGTTCGTCCTCTTAATCTTTTAAGATCAGATTCACTTAATTCTGTCATTATTACCATGAATAATGATTAATAAGCACAAATAACTTCAACAAGATACTTAAGCAGCAAAAAATATTTCCGCTTATCTTTCTGACGTCACGCAGACGATTTGCAGTACCAGTACTTAAAAGTTCGCGGTACTTGGCACAACCCCTACAGCCCTCTATTTTTTTTTCCCGCCGCCATTTTGTCTTCACTAATAAACCATTTCTTTTCTTTTATCTACGAACACTTCACAACTACTAGCCGATTACACTATGCTAGAAATTTTATCTAACAAACTGCTTAACATGACAAATATTCACTGCAAAATGGGAAAAAGTGCACATACCATACTCCTTACGCGTTTTTCAAAATAACACATACACAAAACATGTACAACGCCGACTTATTTTTACTAAAAAAACATCCAGAATTGAACAAAAATGGCATTGCGCACACTCTTCACTATATCCATGTACACTGCTTTTTTCTCATAATTAGAAAAATTTCAACAAAATAATGACAATTTTCTCAATCTTTAAACCCGGCAAAAAGAAAATATACGAAATTACCGATCGCGAAAAAAGTATTATCCTTTCAAAATGAACATTCCACATATAAAATAAATAAAATATCCAAAAACTTTTACTCTAAATCATCTATTACATTATACACGTCACAACGAATTCATACCGCAAGCATTACAAATACTTTATCAAATATTTAAATTATTTCCATGCACGTTACTTCAACTTAAACGTGTACAAATTCCTACAAACATAAATTCACAAAATACTATCATTTAATTAAAATATCACTAAACCATGTACACGTCGACTTTTTTTCTTAAAACATCCCAGAATTGCGCAAAAATGGTATTGCGCACACTCTTCCTATATCCATGTACACTGCTTTTTTCTCATAATTAGAAAAATTTCACGAAAATACATGACAATTTCTCAATCTTTAAAACCCCGGTAAAAAGAACATATCGAAAGTACCTGATCGCGAAAGTATTACCCTTTCCAAATATGAAAATTTCCACATATAAAATAAATAAAATATCCAAAACTTTTACCTCTAAATCATCTATTACATTATACACGTCACCAACGAATTCATACCGCAAGCATTACAAATACTTAGTATCAAATATTTAAATTATTTCCATGCACGTTTACTTCAACTTAAAACGTGTACCAAATTCCTACAAACATAAAATTCACAAAATAACTATCATTAATAAAAATATAATTAAATTCAAAAAACACTTAAAATATAAATGAGCACATACATTAAATTAATACATCATACATACCCATTCGAATTCACTTTAGTTACGGCCATGGGATCAAAAATTCACGAACACTGTTTCACACAACACAGAATAAAGCCAAATACACCAGATTTTTTCCCGATTTCCCCCTTTTCCGATTAAAGACCGTAATTCGTCCATAATATCACATGACATATCCCATGATCTCCATTTCCCTCCCAAAATAATGCGTAATCGGAACTGAGTACTGCTCACATTATACCAAGTCCAGGTAAACTTTATCGCCTCCAAAATGTCGCCAAACTACCAGTTACCATATTGTCAAGATCACCGATCGTTAAACCAATTCTAAAGCATATAATAATAACACATTAAATAGCATTAATGCCTCACCTGGGAACCGACTATTGTCTTGAACTAAAAACATCAGCTTGTATAATAAACTTTATTGCTATTCTAAAAGATGAAATATTTAAGAGACAATTGCCTGCAGCACAGTGCGGCTAAGAACGCTATTCTGCTGGAACATAAACATGAACAACTGTTGCCATTCGCACAAACTCAATAGTAATATAAAGCATGTTGCCAGTGCAAGATTATTGTAAATCACAACATAAAATTAAACAGTGAGAAAATAAAATATACAAAGAAAAAAAGAAATGCAAATATTAAATATACACCCAACACAGGATGACAGATCAAAACTCTGCAGTGGCCTCTGTAAAGGGCCACTGCAAATGAGCAGAACTACGTCTAATCCATTTATCAGGAAATATCTTATTCAGATATTATCTAACGGCAATAGGAAAATGGTCAAAGGGCCACTGCAAATGAGCAGAACTACGTCTAATCCATTTATCAGGAAATATCTTATTCAGATATTATCTAACGGCAATAGGAAAATGGTCTGGCGCTCCATCTTTCTGGAACCATGCACGACCCAGCAGTTCCCGATCTTGCAGATATGGAATAAACCAGTTACGTATCATGGTGAGATACATAATGTGATTCACAGCATCATCAAAGAAATATGAACCAACCAAGTGGGTTGCAGACTTTGCAGCCCAGATCATGATGTGTGGTGGCTTTTGTTCAAGTTCTTCATAAAAATATGGGTTGTCCTTACTCCAGAAATAAACATTTATGATTTTTGCACTGCATCTGATAAAAACACTTTCGTCCTTGAAGGAAGAGGTGTAAAAATATTAAACGTTCGCCCACACGTCTGCTGACATTTTTCCATGCCACAGTCTCTCAATTCGTTTACAAACCAAGGTTTAGATGCCTTTAATTGTAAATCCGCCGTCAGATATTTTTATAATGTCATGTATGGATTACCCAATTCCTGTAACCGCTTACGAGTGGACTTTCTTGGCCAACGTTCGACAGACGCTGCAGCCTTCAAACACGTTTTCATTCGTGTTAGTGGTCGTTATGAGTATCTTTTATGCAACCAGTTGTCAAAGAGCTTTTTCTTCTACCGTAAAATTGTTGGTTTTGAAGGGTAAGGTTTCTGAAATCATGCTGAACATCTCTCATTGGTTTTCTCTTATGGGATCATTCGTGAACCCATGGGCTCATTACGATTCATTCCTCCGTGGTGTAAGTAGACTCATCAACCATGATTGAGATGTGTATCAGCACCCGCAATAATAATTCAGCAATGTAAAAAGGGTAATGAGACTTTTAATCACTCAGTAGAAATCTGACTTTAACCATCAAATGAATGCAGGATTCATTAATCTCCTGTGCTCATTACGATTCCATGGGCTCATTACGATTCATTCCTCCGTGGTGTAAGTAGACTCATCAACCATGATTGAGATGTGTATCAGCACCCGCAATAATAATTCAGCAATGTAATAAGGGTAATGAGACTTTTAATCACTCAGTAGAAATCTGACTTTAATCATCAAATGAATGCAGGATTCATTAATCTCCTGTGCAACATGTAAGGAAGAAGTGTAAGAAACAATGCTATTGACAAAAAAGTAGTATGTTGAATTATACGCTTTGTAATTTGTTATTAATTAAACACCAATGAATGCTGACAAAAATTAATTCTTTCCCTTTCATTTATTAGTTAGCGAATAATAATCAAACTTTCTAGTTTGAATTTTTAATATTCATTTAGTTTAAAGTCGTGACGCATGTGTCTCCAGAGATCATTCTCTGTGCTCATGGTAAAGTCAACAAAATATTATTAATCTAATTCTAATGACGTCGTTATCATTCTTATTATTACTGATCAATGATGTTCTGGTATATGTATGTACATAATTCGGAACAAACTTGTGCAGTGCGGAATAGATTCCAGTCAGTTAAGGAAAATATACAAAAACAGTGAGCTTTCCAAAGCAAGCTAGTACTGAAGCATTTCATGAACCCCTACAGCCCCGCTTTCTCTCTCTCTCTTTTTCCCCCTGCAGTTTTCGGAGATATCAGCATTGTGTACGCAGTGTATATATTATGAAATTTGTATGTATTATGGACAGTGAATTACACTCACTTCCAAAAGTTAAGCATGGAGAGGAAAATGCTAATTTCCGGAAGCCAATCATAATTGAAGAGCTTGCAATTCGCTGCAGAGGTAGATGGAAGTATGCAAATATGTTAGGTAACAGCCATCGCGCTTTCATGTCAAGAAATATGCAAAAAAAAGGCAGTCTAATAAGAAGCCAGCTTATGAAGGTTACAGAAGCTGATTGTAAGTGCTGATAGAAGGTGTTTAAAACTTTCGTACAATTTGGTTTCAAGACATACGTGTTTCTAGGACTTCCAGAAGACGAATGGAAGATTCTGAGCGCTGGCGGGCTGTGGTACGCATTGAAGCAGGACAGTCGATCACAGATGTTGCTCTTTTCTTCGGCGTTCATCATTCTGTAATTTCACGTTTATGGAAACAATTCCAAACCACACAGACAGTTGTCCGAAGGCCTGTAGCCGGTCGCCCAAGGATTATACCCCCGCGGAAGATCGATATATTGACATCTATGGTTACAGCGTCCATTGGTAAGGCGATATCTGCCGCCACTGTACGCCGAAGATTACAGTGGACCGTATGAGTGGACCATATACCCGGGTATCTCGAGTTTTTGTTCCTCTATCCGTCCAATCAAGAGGGGGCACGATTACAGTGGTGCCAGGAACATGTCAATTGGAATGTGCCTGACTGGGGCAATGCAATGTTTACTGATTAGTCAAGATTTGCTCTGGAGCCAGATGACAAGCGTATAAGGATATGGCGTGAACAACGAACACGCAATCAATCCCAAAAACGTCACCGAACATACACGTATTATGAGGCAGAAGCATTATGGTGTGGGCAGAGATTTCATTAGGATACCGCACCGACCTGCACGTCTTTAAACGGGGTTCTTTGACGGCTGTCCGCTATCGAGATGAAGTCCTAGAACCGATTGTGAGATTGTACGCTGCAGCAGTTGGCCCTACTTTTGTTTTAATGGACGATAACGCACGTCCCCATAGAGCTGATATTGTCGATGACTACCTGGAGAGTGAAGGGATTGCGCGTATGACGTGGCCAGCATATTCCCCCGACCTTAATCCCATTGAAAATCTTTGGGATGCTCTCGGCCGTGTTGTATCTTCACGTTTCCCACCTCCAGCCACTCTTCTTGAGCTGGAAACTGCTCTACAAGAAGAATGGCGATTGCTTAGTTCTGCGGTGGTTGACCACCTAATTGAAAGCATGGTCACAAGTTGTAAGCTTTGTATACAGATGAGGGGGCGGATCACATACCCTATTAATGTCCTTTTTTCATTTTATGCTGTTTATTTTCACTTTATACATAATTTTATTTAAGTCTCCAGTATGTCATTATCTGATAATTTACAAAAATGTAATATTGTTTTAATTTCTGTATATAAGTATTGATTTTGTTTTATGCATAAATATATATGATACTTTCCTGCCGAATTTTGTGTCAATCAAAGCAGTATTTGTTGATTTTTTTGCATTTTACATCTTCGTGCTTAACTTTTCGAAGTGAGTGTCTTATAAACTATGTAAGGATGTATTATGAAACAGGATCAATGTATGCACTTGTGGGGCCCACGAGATGTTGCCCGGGATAGCTGCGGAGTCTGGACTAGATCCGAATAGTCTAAGTAAGCCTCACGGGTGTTCAGACTCTGATCTCAACTGTCAACTATATGTATGTACAATTCTATACTTTTTTTGATAATACACAATGCAAGGATGGCTGCAGTACGAAATCAGGACATCAAATATCCGGAACTTCGGACGACAGCCAAAAAATAAAGGAATAAAATAAAATAAAATAAACAAAAATACCTCCACCCGCTTATAGAGTCTAGGAATGCTTAATATAAGGAAGCAGATGTGCTGTAAATGCTATTTTTCTTCAGACTAGAGATATCTGCATGTCACTTGTTGGCCGAGAAGTCGCACGGTGGCTAGTGACAATGCATTGATTAACGCTCTATTGATGTTAAATGTTACCATATCTACATGTCATCTGATTAGACTTAAATTGACGATCTAAAATCTGCAAGTTTCCGGAATCGCCAAAGTCCCAAAGATTCCAGATCCTGGGCTTTTTTGTATTGTAATTTAAAGAGAAATTTCTTAGAGTACATAGCTGAATATAAATTTCTCTCGGCTTGGTGCATAATATGAACAATCACTTTAGCATTTTAAGCCATAAGATTTAAAGACTAAACTTTTCGGGAAAAAAAAAATTAAGTAGCATTTTTAATTTTTATGTGTGTAAATTTATATTTGGTCATGGTTCTGAAAGATCTGTTAGAAGGTTGCAAAGATAAACTGAATAAGAAATGAGTAACATATTTACGTAATCTTTAACGAATGGCTTTCGAAGTAAGATAACGAAATGAAGAATGATATCTTTCTTACTGACTGCGCGGTGTATAACATAAGTATAACTCTTAAACATATCGAAGTTATACACTGCGGGGGGGGGAAGGAACAGTTCTATATCTCCCGTTTTACTCGGCCGATTGACAAAATTCAACTTGCGTTTTCCATGTCTCGAAAGCGCTACTTAAAATATGTATTAAATTTATATATAGCATTGCTCTAATATAGGTATTTGGACCCAAAATAGGACTTTTTCTGAAATGGCATGCCAATGTTTTTCCATATTCGATTCTACGACTCAAATTATGCCCAATTTCCAAGTTTTATAAAGCTCGCATGAGTAGTTTTTAACAAATTAGCTCTCAAAATTTTAGTTCCTCAATGTTAATTGAATCTGGTCTATATTTATTAATCTCTCTTTTTTTTTAAATTAAACTTATTTGATTCTTCGTTTCACATTTCGAAATTTAGTTTCATTCCAAATAAAATTCCCCTTTTTTTATGATTTATTTTTAAAATTTGTATTTTGAAACAATTTTTACAAATTTTTCGAAAAAAATTTTGAATTATGATCTATAAGAATAAGTTTTATCACCATCTTAAAGCTCATGTATTTTTAAGCATACCTGCCAAAAATTAGAGTTTTTATTCAAAATTTCCTAATATATGCGTAAATTTATATATTAGAGCGTTTTGAAATTTGGCATGTTTGTTATAAGCGATAATAACGCCATATGTGATTTATGCAGTTTGTCAAAATCATTTGAAAGTATGCATGATGACCCTTTTTCCGCTCGTGTACAGAGGAAAAAAAGAAAGGAAAATAGGTTACTATAAATTAAGAAGTTCGCCAAGTGAATTATTCTCGGCGCAAACTGAAAAAAAATGCGCCAAGATAAATTTTAAAATTTCTCCATAAATTTCTCACCAAAAATTAACAAAATTTGATACCTAGGAATAATTTGAGTCGTAGAATCGAAGTATGGAAAAAAATTGCTATGTCATTTCAGAAAATGTCCGATTTTGTGTCAAAATACCTATGTTAGAATAATCTTATATATAAATCTAATGTATAGCCTAAGTTGCGCTTTCGAGACATGAAAAACGCAATTTGAATTTCGTCAATTGGTCCGGTAGAACGGGAAATATAGAACTTTTTTTTTTTGTTTGTTTGTTTTTGTGTGTGTGCAGTGTAATCATGTGATCCAGATATTATTAGCGCAATGAAAGAACATTATCACTGCGAAATGATTGTCAGAATATTTTATAACATACATGATAAAGATATAAGTATGTATGGATTAGTAAGGAAAACTAATCTTCTTGTTGATGGCTTTGTCGAAAATGTCTTGGAACAGCGTTTTAGAAAAGAAAATTAAAGAACCATTATAAGCATGCCAACCTTTTAATAAATGATGAAACAGAGAAGCCGAAGAGAATAAAATAACGTCTCCAACTAATAAATGAATTATGAGAAATTTAACGCTAGGATGAAAAAAAAAAAAAAAAAAAAAAAAAAAAACTCAGCTTGCAGCATTAGGAACCAAAAGAAATTACATGCCAGTCGCCTTTGAAACAAATTCAAACACATCAGATGATAAACTTTCTGAAGAAAATGATAAAATCAGTAAATTTTGTTAATTTCTTCTGAGTGTTAAGATTAAGGTGTAGTATCGATCCAATAATTTCTAGAAACGTTATGAATATGAACAGTTTATAAATGAGAATTTGCTCAACAACTACAGACAATAAACTGTTAATTACTTTTTTTCTTACTGAAGTGCTGTGAAAGTAAATATTTATGCATTTCTAGTTATATTTCTATCAAATTAAAAAATTCCGATGATATTTTGAAGGACCTTTTTCTCATCGCTTAATTTTATCATTCGCTTAATATTATCAAAGCTGTCATGAACAAATGTAGTCACATAAAACAGTGCCTTCTGTAATTCATTATCATGCAAATTTACTATAAAGCATATTTCACCAACTCTGCCTTTTCTTCATAATAACCGCAGTCAGTAATGCGGTAATATAGGAAATATTCTGTTCTTTTTTTTTCTTCTTTTTTTCTTTCAGACTAAGCAGAAGTTGACAAAGTATGCATCTGAATATTCTTTGATACTGTTGTGAAAATGGGAGTTCCGAGTTACTGCGCTCAGCTGATGTTGTAAGGAGATCACTGTATTTTATAACAGGGGGAGGGAGAGGCGTGATTTGTGCAACAGTTCCTACTCATCAAACAAACTAGAACTAGACAATTTTATGCTGATTATATAACGAAAAGATATTTATATTAGTTTAATTTCTTATTGTTCTTCAATACTATTATTTAATTTGAAATTAAAATTTCAATTTATCTACTTTGGTACTCTTTCTGAACAAGCTTCATTAAAATTATAAACCCATTTCTGTTATAAATAAGATTTTTTTAATGTAACGTAACTTTAATTATTCATTAATAATCACTTAAATATTGCGTATTTTCAATGCTTTACTAGGCTCTTCTGAATTGATGGATGTACCAGCCCTTCAGAATTTCCTGAAAGAACTCGGAATTTTAGACTGGCCTAACTTGCCATCTGACTTCCAGTTCGTGAATCCCACCATCGAAGAATTCTTGGCTATTCTGGCTGCTCACAACCAACCAGCCTTTTTACGATTCACGAGCGATCAATCCGAAGAGGAAATCAATTCAGAAGGAAAGCTGCTCAACATGACCGTAAGAACCACTCGTTGACATTTCCAGTGTTTAATTAAAAATGAGCAAAGTTAAAAATAAAACAATAAAATTCATCCGCTTGTAGAAATACCACAAGAAACACGCATGAAATCTTCGTTTCAATAACCTTCGTGTAGTGGGAGTGACAAAATGGATGCTTGATTTTCTGGCTGTGAAGCAGCTCCTGGAAGTCTTTGGATTCTTTTGTGAAGAATACTAATCTTCGCTTTTTTTATATCATTTCACATCAGGGCTTAATTTCTAAAATTAGGAGTGTGGGAACCTTATGAAAGACTGGATGAAGGAAAGAAAAACAAATACAAAAAAAAAAAAAAAAAAAAAAAAAAGGGGGGGGGGAAATTAAAAAAAAAAAGCTGAAAGGTATTCAGATTTCAAATTTCGTCGAAAGGGGCGTTTTTTTAACGTTTTCTGTGTTACTTTTATTTTTTAAGTATCATGTTCTTTGCACTTATACCATTAAATTCAGTTCAATAGCAATGTGCAAAATAATTTTAAAATGAGCATATCTTTAGAATTTCCGATACAGAGTTCCTAGCGCTGGAGATAAAAAGTTTTTTTCCCCCGTAGAGTGTTGCCATTGCTAGCTTTTAAATTGTTGAGTTTGTTAATCAAAAATTCGTTAAAGATTTACAAAATAGGAAATCGATAATAAAACAAATTCCAAATTTCAAATTTGGTCTTCCACATGTCCATATTCGTAGGAGGATTACGTCATTCAAAATTCGATGGCTCTATGTACCGTTGTTTATTACAATACGAGAAATATACATACATTTATGCAGATTTTTCATTATTTAATTTCTTTAAATGTAATGTAGGACTCTAACATTTGGTGGCAACAGTTTGAAAAGTGAAACGGATATTTATAGTGATTCAACGCAAAATCGCAAAACGAAAACAATAGTCCTTCAGGGGCAAAGCCCCTTTGGACTAATAATTAAAATAATAAAATAATTAAATTAAAATTAAAGAAATACAAAATGATAAAAACATCGTGTTATTTGAGTCTGCAGCTGAAATTACGCTCAGAAACTAAGAAATAGCTAATCCGGCCTCCAACTGAATTTAAGCCCTGATTCTATGGTATAATGTACTGTTTTAAAAGGCGATAGGTATGAAATTCGTTTTTTTTCCCCAGCGCGCCAGAAAAAAAAAAAAAAAAAAAAAAAAAAAAAAAAAAAAAAAAAAAAAAAAAAAAAAAAAAAAAGATAAAACGATTAAAGCGTCACTAATGAGATTAGAGAAAATGCTAGTAATAGTATGAGAGTATGGAAGGAAGTTTTAAAGAAAAAGTGTAGCTTTGGAGGGAAGAATCCAACACTTTCTAATCGCAAAGTCCTGCCGATATAAATGTATCGTTAAACAGAAATTTACCGGGAAGAAAATCCGATAAAAACGTGAGAATCAAGGTACTGCTCCTCTGTACAAGTGACAATTGTGATACTCAATGTTTGGGTTACATCGTTGGAAAAGTCTGCAGGAGCACTGCAGTGGGAGTCACTAGCATGACACGTGCACGATTAGGTGGACCACTTTTAGTACTTTTAGAAACGAAATATTTACCCGTTGTCATAAATTCGTTGCACTTCTTGGAGAGTAAACCTTTGACATATGGAGGGCCTTTTTTTCTCCTTAAAAGTCTCAACTTCTATCCAACGTTTATGTGCAACGGAAAGGCAGGCGTGCAATCAGAAGTTAGAATCGATTTTTAAGACATCAAAATAAAATTTGTCTGTTGAAATTATGGTTCACTTCTTTGCGCTACGGCTAGAATTATGATTTATCTAAAAAACTCAGAGTACCGAAGCCGGGCACCGGCACAACCCAAGCTCTGTTTTACATGAATATGTGTGTTCACTACGAAAACTGTCGCATGTGACTTGATATGAGGGACACGATGATGCTGGTTGCCTAGAATACATTAAATATTAAAGACATCTACCGCCAGCAGAAGATGATACGATGCTGCAAGAGAGGATAATAGTTAAATTAAATATAGACATAACTATTCTTTTGAGCAGTGGTTCTGGACCTACTTTGCTGCATGTACACCTTCCACCATTGCTAGATCATTCCCCCCCCCCATCCATTCCAAAACGGAAAAGTACAAATTCATTTACTTAGATTTTATATTAGTTTCAACGCGTTTCATAAATTAAATAACGGAAATTAAATACAGAAAACTCTTATAAATACCAAAATTTGATTAAAAGTAGTTTTTATGTTCATGAACTAAAACGAAATAATTAATTAATTGCTATTTGAAAGGCTGAGTGCATCCCCCCTGGAGCTATGAAATTTCGCCCAAAGAAATACCGCCTGGTTGATTGGCATATGGCCCTATTTGGCCACGTGGACTTCGGCTGTGCCTTAAATAACTCGCGTTCCGGTTGTGAAACTCTGCCTTTGAGCAGTTAATAGTGGATCATATTTAACGGTTGCAAACTGTGGTACTCTTGGCTGAATCTTCAGAATGCGGAATTTGTGATTTCGATATGATTCCGATTCACTGGAGTGCACCCTACCCCCACTAGGAGTTCTAAAACGGGGTACTGACACACCCTGAACATGCGTGTAATGAATTACATATATATGCAAGATGTAACAAAATTCGATAGCTGCTTTAAAAATAATTGGCGACCTCAAAATGAACGATTCTAGATTTGGTGCTCTCCTCCTAAATTCATCCTCCCAACTTCGTGATCCTTCTATGTTATATAACAACCTAAGATTAACCAATCATAGCTTAGAGAACTTTCTGCATATATTTAGTGTAAATAATCTTAGCACGAAAAACTACGTCATTCCTTTCTCTAGCTTCTACCTTGCATCTCCATGCTGCTATGCCCTTCTTTGTTCTTATTCTAAGATGATATAACGTGCATATGAAAATTATTGTAATTACTTATGATCTAGAAATATCTTATGTACTAAAAAATTATGAGATATGTGCGAAAATAAAGATTGGTACTTCAAAATTCATTTGGGGCGGCGTCATCTGTTCGTCTTTCCACTCAGCCAGCACGACTACGCTTTATATACATGTGTGTGTATATATATATATATATAAAGAAAACAAAGAAACATGTTTTTTAAAGGTGTTTCCATATTTTTGTCCAACCCCTGTATATACATGTGTGTGTATGTATATATACATACATACATACACACACATGTTATGTAGAATTTGACTTAATTCACAGCATGAGAGCACGAAGTAATATTTAAATGGTTTGTTTAATAGAAAGAAATAAAAGTAAATAAGAAAAGTAAATAAAGATGAAGTTAACGGTATGCAGGATTAACATAATGATGCACCAACAGTCCTTTTACACCTAAAGGCATAACATCAAAAGCACAATCTAAATTCATAAACTCTTGAAGACGTGTGAACCGTCTGCTCACATCTGCCCTCCACTCTCGACCAGGTCTCAGCGCTGTCTGGGATGATTCTTACTGCGCTGGGTGATGCTATACTGATGACGTCATAATCCTGGTATTCTAATTCAGCATTGGACGTTGATGACTCCCACAGCTTCGGCCAGCCTGAAGAGGCATCGTCCTCGATGTCTGTTGAATGGACATCCCCGTCATGTACCTGCAAAGATAATAAAAAAACAAAAAAAGAAAGAAAAAAAGAGTATCAGGTCCTTAGGCTTTGAGCTGATACACACATCAAATCAATTTGACCATGGCTTCATATGGTCAGCCGCAGTAGATGTCAAATTTGGTCCTTCATGGCATCCTACTTTCTCGACTTCATATCTGTCATTTGGTCGAACAGCTATGATTTTATACGGTACATGAAACTTAGGTCGTAGTTTCAAACCAGTCCCATATTGAGTTCTCTGAATGGCTACCAAGTCGCCAATCTTGTATAGTTTCGGTTTCTTACGTTTCTTGTTGAATTGTTTACAATTCTCTTCTTGTATCTTCAAAATGTTGTTTTTAGCATCTTCTCTCATCTCATCACGTTCTTGCATCAATTACTTTAAATATTCTTCATTTAATATTTCACTAATTCTCAAATCTTCTTTATTCTTCATTTTCGTGCCTATGAGAAGCTCAAACGGTGAATATTTTGTACTTCTCGTAGTCTTACTGTCTTACTGTTGATGATTCTCTGAACATCTGGAACATACTTAAACCATTTCGTTGAATCTTCATGTGATAATTTTGACAAAACAGGAATCAAAATTCTATGAATTCGCTCTTTGTCCGTTACCTCTTGGAATACCGGTAGTAATTTTGACATGTTCTATACCTTCTTCAGTACAATACGCTGAAAATTCTTTCGATGTATAGGCACTATCTCGATCTGTAATGATTCTGGTTGGATTTCCAAATACAGTCTGTTGTTGCTTCAATTTTGAAATAACTTCTTGCGTAGTTGGTGATTTCACTGGATAGAACCAAGTAAATTTCGTAAAAGCGTCGACAACAGTTAGAATGTGTTGGTATCTCTTGTTCGTCGATGGAAGAGGTCCAATAAAGTCGATATGATACGTACTCAAGGGAACGTTTTCTTTCGGTACAGGATGAAGAAATCCTTCTGCTTTTCCTTGCTTCTTGTTGTACAGTATACATTCTATACAGTTAGCAATTACTTTTTCAACTTTGCATTTCAGTCTGGGAATATAGAATTCTTTCTCTACGGCATTCACAGTTTTATCTACAGCAAAGTGACCATTTTTATGTACCTTCTGCATGATTTCATTCTGTAAGGATTCTGGCACTACTAGAAGATCTTTACCATTTTCAAATTTGTACAAAATATCATTTCTCACGAAGAATCCATTTTCTTCATGCAAAATATTTTCAAATAATACAGATAAATCACATAGGAAAGAGGCAATTCGGGTTACGACTTCCGTTTTTGAACCTTCTGAATTTATGCACAATACATTGCAAACTTTAATTAACTCATTCAAAGTAAAACTATTCTGCACTGTATCTATTTTCTTATTAAATTCTTCAGAATCTGGTTTAAAAATATAAAGCCAGAAAATTCACGTAATCGTTTCCGGTTATTTCGATCTCCATCAGTATTAAAAATAAGCTTATGCAAACTTTTGATTTCAGAACTTTTACTGTTCTTTAAAGCTGCTTCCAATTCTGGAATTTCTACTAACTTCATATTGGAAAGAAAGTTTTGTACTTACCCGACAGATGACCGTCGTCAATTGGGTAATCCACACTTTATACGAGTAATCCAATAAATCGGTAGTTCACTCAGTAGTTCAATGCTCAGTTCAGAACACAGTTCATAATGTCACTCACCATTTTCCAAGTTCGAGGCCGCACGGTTGGTCGCCATGTTTTTTTGTAGAATTTGACTTAATTCACAGCATGAGAGCACGAAGTAATATTTAAATGGTTTGTTTAATAGAAAGAAATAAAAGTAAATAAGAAAAGTAAATAAAGATGAAGTTAACGGTATGCAGGATTAACATAATGATGCACCAACAGTCCTTTTACACCTAAAGGCATAACATCAAAAGCACAATCTAAATTCATAAACTCTTGAAGACGTGTGAACCGTCTGCTCACATCTGCCCTCCACTCTCGACCAGGTCTCAGCGCTGTCTGGGATGATTCTTACTGCGCTGGGTGATGCTATACTGATGACGTCATAATCCTGGTATTCTAATTCAGCATTGGACGTTGATGACTCCCACATATATATATGTATGTGCGTGTGTGTATCTGTATGTTATGAAATTTAATATATATATATATATATATGCGTGTGTGTATCTGTATGTTATGAAATTTAATATGTAACTGGATAGTGAAGCTGGTATATAATAATGAAGATGAATGATATAGCTGTTTATTTTCTAGTAAAGTATCCGTAGTCAAACTAGCAAAAAGCCGCTCACGTGTATAAGCGATTATAAGCGTTTTTCGTTTTACAACTAATGTAATGAAATGAATGTTAGCAGCATAAAGGAAAGAGTGTGAAGAATAAGATCATATTCTTGATGGTTAAATTAAGAAGCTAAAATTAAGAAGAGTGAAGTTAATTTATTTATTAGGAGAGGTGTATGGATTGCTTAATTTTTACTGGTTTCACAAATTTCGATTCGATAATTAATTGAACAGATTCATTTTTATGCACGAGCGTGCCAGAATCCTATAACAAGGATTAATGTTGGGATAATGCACTTCAGAAAGATTTATCTAAGTAATTTCCTGTTATTATAACAGAAATGATTATGAAATTATTATAAATTAAAAGTAGATTTTTTGTACACATATTTATTTATGAAATATTGTAATCAATAATAATCATCTCTGTTATATTTATTTATGAAATAAATATATGAAAATTTCCTCTCAGGTCTCTTACTTCTACGTTCTAACCATCCCAGAAAGAACAGTTGGTAAGTTCAGGAACATGATGCTTGGAATACTCAAATACCTTAACGTGGATCAATCGACAGCTAACAGAATATGGCAGGAATTTCTGAGGATAAATGATGAAATTCGAAGAATAGCTGAGGTAATTAATACTAATCGACGAGTTCTATGATCAGCTTCAAAGTTTTCTCTAACCCCAAACAACCCCCATGCGTTTCTTGGGAATATCAATGGTCTTTTAATTATAGATACAGACTAAAGACCGTCTAAACACATTAGGTTTTATCTGAGCTAACGGAGTTGGTTTTTTGTGTCAACTAGCCCAGCTTACATAAAGTTAAAATTTTTCAACTGAAGAAATACTGGTTTTTTTCAACACCGTGGAGGTATGTTAGCTGCCCCAGAGGTATCAGTTAGATCAGATAAACCCTAGGGTGAACCCGCTCTTAATTCTTCGTAATGTACTTAAAAAGGATTGGACCACTAAATGTTGTTCTAACAACCGGATGGTATTCCACTTATCCAATATGAAACAAATCAATAATGAAAGCTTTGGCTACTTTCAGTAAAAAATATACAAACTTTAATTTTCATGAAAGTGGCAAAGAAAACGTTTTCACATCTGAAATAGAAAAAATAGTAAAGAAAGATTTATCCTCTATGAAGAAAGCTGTTTAACATATAATAAATTTAAATTTGAGAGGACCTAATGGAAGTACGGTAAGACAGTTATGTACTTATGTTTTCTAATGCAGAATTAAAAAAAAATTACATGAAAAAAACAATAAAGAAAAGCATAGGTTTCAAGTTCCATTTTTTAGAAAAGCTAAGATTCACATTTTATGTACAAGAGAATTCAATTTTCACTTGATCCGTATAATGGCCGATTTGCCCATTTGTTCAGTAGCTGTATAGATTCTGTGGAGAAATTATTGGGTTGCGGCAAATAAAACGGTCGATTTTAAGGAATTGTAAAAAAAATAATAAAAGAAAATAAAAAGAAGAAGAATATCTGTGTAATAAAGTTAATCTTCAGTTGCATCAATGCATTAGGGCCAATGAGTATTTATAAACATGGCGACCAATGAGAGCTTGGTCGCCATATTTTTAAATGCAGTTTGGTGGAAATGGTAAAGTTCTTTGCCCGATAACTTGAAACGTCGTTAACAGAGCATTTCTTGGACAAAAAGGTGGCTTGAGTGCCAGAAAAATGATAACCTATTGAAAAAGTGCCAGCAGAGTGTGAAGAATGAGGCACGATTTCGATTTCCTGAATTGTTTATTTGCTATATGGTTGCCTTTGTGGTCAGGCGTAATTCTGAAGCGATAGGATTCAGTGCCTATTCACAAGGGCTAGTTATTTAAGACACAGTTTGTCATGCATTTGCAGCTTATTCCTCCAATACCAATCTGCATTTATCATGTTACCTCGTGAATAACCATCATACAAAAAACATCTTTAGATGCAAAGGTTAACTTTGGCGTCCTTCCGGAGTGTCTTTCTTTCTCAACCATAGCAAAGAATGCATACGATTATCGTAGATTATCGTAGATCTTCTCATGCCCAATTAAACTCTTTGCAGGAACTATTGCTCCTTTACTTCGTTAGACAAAAAAGAATAGTTCTAGATGCCTTTCTTTGGTTTCACGAGTGAGTTCTAAAGTTGCCCACTTGTCAATTTCCTTACTTTTCCTGTTATTATTAATTGTCATGGAAGGAGAATGGTCTTGAGATTCAACGCGTAACCTCAAAATCTCCCGATAGAAATTTTGTAAACCAAAGATGAGGGGAACTCTGATTAGTTGATCCTCCATCGAAAGTTTTATTGATATTTTTTACTGCGTACATTGGAGAATTTACAGCTTGAATTCGTAAAACTATAGCAGCTTTAATTTAATGGATTCTATAATTGGTTTGATATCAGTAATAGTAAATTTTTAATGCTCCTTGAATGAAATAAAATACTACAGTTTACAGTTGCATAGTCCTTGTGTGACGTTGGTACATGGCATAAAAATATTGCAGAAATTTCAGCGCTTACTTTTTTTCGCAAGCATTAGAAGACTGACGTTAATGAGAGACCATTTCGAATGCAAAAGCCCAATTACTTTACTGCATATTCAACTAACACTAATGCACAGAGTTATCTTAATTTGGAGGGCAATTTATTTCCGTTTACAAATTTTTCAACACAAAACACAAGTCAAATAAAATTCAGATTGAAATTTCTATAAATATTACAGATAAGGTAAATAGTACAGGTATTAAGGCTACAACTAGTGGTTACAACTTAAATTTTAGTTGTAACCACTAGTTGTAGCCACTCCTAGTGGTTACAACTAAAATTTTAACCCACAGTAAAACGACTACTTAATAATGACCTAATAAAAATCTAAAATAAGGCTACTTCCCTTGGTAACTAAAAGTTCGGTTTATTACAGACAAGTTTCTAACTAAAGTTCAAAACTAGACACCTGGTCATTTATACTATCTACACTCGTAAGGCACTTAATATTACTCTACTATTATTTAAGCTGTAGCCTTTCACGGAATCAGCAGGAACTAATTTAGTGATATAATGGCGATGCATCAAATGCTCGAGTAGGTAAGCTCCTACTTTTAAACCGTACTGCATGCCATTGAATTTATCTTACTTTCTGCTATGAGCATTATTATGACAAAAGCTAAGAAAAGGAAGATAGGGTTTAACTCAAATCTAATTGTTAATTAAAGTTGCCGCTTAACCGTTATAGTGATGCTGATGACCGTACCGGTGAGCCCGGGTTCAAATCCCGGAGAAGGCAAGGATGTTTGTAAGCGTATAGAGTCTGTGCGTCAGGGGGCACTCAAAATACACGGTGAGCTGAAAATGCTCTCGAGAGGTTGCTACTAGAGGTACAGATAGAAGTTAGGCCAGCGCATCTGTAGTATCGTCAGGTATTGCTGAAACTAGCAAACTGTTAAACTTCCGCCCCAATTTTGAGGGAGAGCACCTCGGGGTAAGGGAGCGTACGAGCTCTCTCAACCCTTCTTCCATAACACCAACCTCTCGGAAGGACTTTTGGATCGTCGTGCATTTTGAGTGCCCCCTTGCCACTCAGACCTTATATATTTACAAATATTCATGCCTTTCCCTGGATTCGAATTCGGAACCATCCGTACAGCAATCAGTGTCACTAACTAATACTCTGGCTGGGGAGTTACTGGTAGAGGAATAGGGGTGGGAGACAGCCTCCCGTGGTATTCTTCATCAAAACTGGGCGTAGCTTAACGGTTAGCAAGGCCGGGAATACCTAATATACCTTCGGTAAGCGACAGGTTTCGGCTTTGTTTTAACCTGTACCTGATAGTAAAATTCGAAAGTAATTGTAACAGATAAAACTGGTTTACGTCATATAACTAAAAAAAAATTGCTATGGATTATTTTGAGTGTTGCAGTGTTCAGGTTGTTTTTCTTGTAAGAATCTATAGTAGCGTAAGAAACAACTTTCTAATAGTCATTTTAGACCTGCTCAAGGGCAAAAATAATAAATCAATATTTCAAAAGAATAAAGTAAAGTTAAATTTAACAAACATTCTTATTTCGTAAAAAGCAAATTTAAAGTTAATTAAATGAAATGGGAAATAATTAAACGAAATTTTTACGAAATGAGAATGTTTGTCACATTCAAATCAATATTTCGTATAGTTAGTTTTACTAGTTGTCCAACACTGATCCTGTCTGGAAGCCTGACGGACTTAGGACCAACCATTGAAGAAATATTTAGTGGTACAATCTTTTTTTTTTAAATCATCAATATATATGCATATATATTTTCCCATTAAAGGTGGATTGGGATGATATTTGTGAAGACTGCGAAGATGATTCCATGATGCTAGATTGTACCGGGGAAGTTGAAGATAACCTGGTAAGGATCTTCCAAATATTTCCCAGTGTATAGATTCTGATAAATGTGTTTATACAGAAAAATTTTCGAAATGATAAATTGCAGTTAAATATTGCAACAGTTTAACGTAGATGAACGTTGTTTACCAAACTTTTGTTTTAAATAGCTACTTTTTTAATTCAAGTAATTAATTCCTCAATTATCATTGAAACCGTTTTTTAACGGTTTGACTACTTTTTTCATAGAGTTATCTATAAAATTAATAGTTTGTTCAGATTGCAGAAGTCAGTTTATTATAGACTAGAAAGTCCGGCGGTTCTACGAAATGACCGCTGTTCTAGATATTATAAATTGTAATTAAAATGATTTCTGCAGAGATGTCTGCTAATTCAAACTGAATTACCCAGGGCAGGAGGCGACGACGTCCCTATGCTTACTGCCTCACGGGGTTTTTACCCTTCTACTTGCTTAATTGCTTAAAGTAGAGTGCAATGAAGGAAACCACTGGCGGTACATTTCTTAAGAGCCACCGCTAGCTCAATAAATAAAGTTGAAAGATCATGTCACAGGTCAAAGATCTCTTTGTACACAACATTTCTTGTGTCGATCTTTCCATCATTTTTAAGCTCGCCTTGCAGAGAGCCATCAATTATTTTTAATTTTACGTCCGTTCTTTCACGAACTCTTGCACAGGCAACATAAAGTTGACCGTGTCCAAATGCAGGCTCATGTAAAAAAATGCCAGCACGCTTAAGCGTTTGGCCCTGAGACTTATTGATGGTCATAGCAAAAGCAAGTTTTACAGGAAATTGTCTACGTCTCAATTGAAACGGCAACCCTGTTTGAGATGGAGCCAAATCAATTCTTGGAAAGATATGGATTTCACCTTTAGAACAGCCAGTCAAAGACTTGGCTATTATTACATTATTTCTCAATTGGAGAACCTCTAGTCTTGTACCATTGCAAAGACCCCCTTCTGGTGTTAAGCTTTCTTAACATCATAGTAATTGTTCGAATCTTTAACCTCAATATGTGAGGTGTCATGCCAGAAGGCGACAGACTATTTAAAAACTCCATTGGAAAGTTGTTGGCACTCGCTTTATTGTCAGCTACAACAGAGTCAACACTTAAATATGTCGTGTCGTTCCCTTCTATGATATTTAAGACATCATCATTTAGTTTGTCTAAATCAGAATTTTTAGGACACAATATTGCCCTTTCACTAATTTCACTGATGTTTTCAGGCTGGATTTTGTTACCAAAAACCCAATCCACTAAATTTTCTTTGCATATCATTGACAAAGGAATCTCGACAACGTCTTCCTTCAATCCATTATTATCAGAAAGAGTTCCATTTCCAAGTTTTAAAAGCCACTCACTATATTCGGGGTCATTTGACCTCATGTTCATTGTCAGTGGGAGTTTCTTAAATAAATCTCGTGATTTTGCAAATTTGATGCTAATTTGTATTATTGAGGCTTGTGGAGCATGAGGCAATACTGATAAACATTGTCTAAAGTCACCTCCAAGAAGTAAAACTTTTCCTCCAAATGGATAATCATTTTTCATGATTTCTTTTAAAAACCTGTCAGTTGTATCCAAAACATGGTTTGAAGCCATGGTACATTCGTCAATTATTATGAGCTTTGCTTCTCATAAAAGCTTTGCTTTATCAGTATTTAATTTAATATACGATACTGAAGTTTCATTTAGTGGAATTGGCAATCCAAAAAGACTGTGTATTGTCTTTCCATCAAGTAATAAATTTGCGGCTACGCCTGTTGTAGCAGCAGAGAGGACAGAAATTTGTTTTCCTCTGCAATACCTCAACGGAGTTGTAAGATATGTTTTTCCAGATCCTCCAGAACCGTAAAAAAACAGTTTGCCACTACTGAGTGGCGCATCTAAAGCAGTTAAAATAAAATCATACGCTGACCCCTGTTGATCATTAAGAGTCTCTTTATCTCTTTCTGCAAGTGCCATCTCTTCCTCCAGATCATAATGATTTTCTTGCATAGCAAGATCAGCAGGAGGATCTTTTAAGCCAAAGCTTGAACATTTTAAGGAGTGTTCTTGCAAAACACTCTGCATTTCAAGAAGTTGCAAAATTTTCACAATTAAGAATGTGGCAAATGTTCATTATTAGGATGGATTTTATGGCAAAAACTTTCCATCATGTGTTGCCTGAACTGATTCCATAATTCAGCATGCTGAAGAAAATCGTCGGCAAATTTGCATATGTATGCAAAAAGATGGCAAAGCTGCCTTGAATTCAAAAATTCTTTAGCTTCATCTAGGGTTGTTTTCCACTACTGGTCATCTTTTAAAAGACCGCGAGCATTTGCCGCTTCATAAAAAGTCAAATATTCCACTTCATTAAATGTTTTAAGGTATTCAAAAGAAGTGGCACCCTTGACGTGTAAAAGAAGAAGCTGTAAACAATAGTGTTCTTTGTCAGCTGGATTGACAATATACATTCTTCCGATTACTCTGTCTCCGCCACGTTGGCGCCGGCACCAATTTCCTGGTGCTTTTGCATTGTATACAAAATGTTCAGGGATATCACGATAGTAATATTCCTTAGCTTCATCATTGTGCTCATTAATTTCAAACCAAGCACTCAAATTTGTGTGCTTATTTGCTGCTCTTTCAACAGTTCCTTCTAAATCTTCAGGATTAAAGCACACATACTGCTCATCAGGCAAATGCACTTGTAATCTGTAAATTGTATGACTCTGATAGTGCATACTGAAACCAAATATTCGCCATGCCGTTTCGGGGACGCTAACATAACGTGAGTCCACAAATTTACAAATCTCATCCTGAGTTTGATTTCCCAGTTCAACTCGTGCACAGTCATGTCATAAATGTGTTTATAAAGGTTTAGTTTAGTTTAGTTTAGTTTACGAGTATGCTGCAACCCTCCTGGCCGACAATAATCGGCCTCATGGTTAACGCAGCACACCAGACGCAGACAAACAACAACAATAATAATAATAATAATAATGAAATAAATAAAAGATTAAAATATTAAAGTCCTATTCCTATGATATGTGTTTATAAAGGTATTGGAAACCTTGAATAGAAGCACAAACTTCTACGTTTATATGGCAATGGTATTTCAAAAGTAAATAAGGATTGTGTGGCACAATCCACGAATTATCTATTACTTTATTGCCAATTATTGTAGGCTCCGTCTTTCTACGTCTAGATTTTGAATATCCATTCACATCTTTATTTGTGAAGGTAGCAAATGCTTTAGGAAACTCTTTTTTACATTTGCCATTTTCCATGCAGACGCAGTTTGGGTTTATTAATCCACACGGACCGTGAATCATGGGCTTTGCTACAATTTCAAAAAGGCTTAGCGAATTGACTTTGTCTGGAATTTCTGCACAGACAATTCTGTCAATACCAGCCTCACTTTTAAGCTTTAATTCACTGTCTAAAATTATTAAAATGTGACAGTGGTGCAGTCCCCTTTTTTTGAAACTCAATCATATATACCATAGCTTGGACTTTGCCAAATAGTCCGTCTTTTAAATCTTTTAATAGGGGTTTTAACTTAATGTTAAAAACCATTGCTACAATATCAGGTCTATTAGTAGCTGTTTGACCATTCTTCAAATTCTTCTGGATGTCATCCCAATTTGGATTACATGTCATTGTTACAAAAAGGTCTGGCTTACCAAAGTTTGTAACAATAAATATTGCATCTTGAAATCTTTGTTGCATGTTCCTGGGACTGCCTTCAAAGGAAGATGGTAAAACTATCTTTTTCCCAGGAACTTCAGTATCTTCTCCAATTAAGTAGTGAGAGAGACCATTGTATTTTTCAGTTCTAAGATCTTTTTGGTGAGTTCTAATGTAGTAATGCCGCCCAGATTCCATTCGGCGATACCAATCACAAAAGAGTTGCTGAATTAGTTTTCCTGCCATTATAAGAGGATTAAAGTTGTCTCGAACTGATAACATATAGCTATAAAATTCCATTACTGAAATTGGCGATATATTTTTTCAAGGATTATTTAAGCCAAGTTTAGGCTTCCAGCCTTGCTCTCCTCGTGGAAAAAGTAAAGGATACATCATTGGGTCAAGATTTGGATCCCATGTGCTGATTCGCTTTAATTCAGTTTGTCCAGGTTGAGCCTTTGGGTAAATTATTAAATCTCGCTCGTGTGGTGGCTCTCCATCAGTGTTTCCAAATATGACAGCCACTTCGTTGGCTTGCTGGACATTATACCACCTTTGATCTAAGTTACGGTCACAGACAATGGGCATGGCAATGCTAATTACTGGCTCATTGCTTGCTATAGCATTAGAGGCCAACTTTTTCAACTTCGTGCATCATTTTATATGCAGAAGCAAATGGGTTAATGTCTTGAAATAATTCTCCCATTTCATTAAGTAAGGTCTCAGGAACTCTTTTATTCCATTCTAAACGTGCCGAACTGGCTTCTGAGGGATCAAGTATATATAATTGAGCAAACTTTCTTTTCCCGTGAGAAGGATGCAAAGTTCCAGTTTGATGGTAAACTTGACCATGAAGTCGAAAGCAATAAAAAGATGGTCCAGGCAAGTCAATTGGTTTGTTTCCCATGGACGCAAAAGCAAACGAACTATTAATGGATCGAATGCTATCCATGTACTGTTTGCTATTTGGATGCTGATTAGTCAATAATTTATTTAAGAGTGTGGATAATTCTCAATTAGTGGAACTACAATGTTTCTGTACTTGCAACATTGAGAAAATCCTTTCTTGCCACTGTCAAATCGATTAGTTTCTAACTTGAAGTTTAAGGACTGACAGTGTTCACATTTAATATTCATGTCACCACAGGAATGCTCAAAAATTAAAGGTTTTCCGTTTGAAACTGTTTTAATCCTTTTTGCATTTTGGTCAGCATTACTCTATCGTTTTTTGCATTTCTCTCCTCCCTTTGTTCAAGGGACTCACTTTGTCGAGAAAGGCGCATTTGCTCTGCGACTGAAGCAAGCTTTGTTTTTCTCTGCTCAGTGGT